TGCCAGAAGCAAACATTTTAACCACTGATGTTTTGGAAAGGTAGCAGAAAATCCCTGCCCCTCCAGTTTCTGAAAGTGGATTATTATTATTATTTTTATTAATTGTATGAGGTAACTAGAAGAAAACTTAAGCCCCATGTTTTAATGAGCAGGGAAGGTTATTCTTACCCAGATACTGTGGGCACAGGGTGCCCATACATTGTGGGTCTCTGAGCATCTGTCTCATTCCCTCTGCAGAGAAAGGGTCCCAAACTATCCCCTGAACATCAGTGCTGGGCCAGAGAGATCATGGTCTAAAGCTGCTGAACTGTAAATCTGACCATTGCTGCCTGTGAACCAACCTGGTTTTGCTCATTTTAGGAGACAGAGGCAGCAGGTCTGGTTAGTTTTCCTCCCAAAAGTGTGAGCAGCTTTCCCTGGCTGGTCAGACAGAGCAACCAGGGACAATATTCCATGAGCATACGTGCTTCTTTCCAGACAGATGCAATATTCAGCTGCATATGGGACATCATTGAGTGAAAGGGAGTGGGTTAGAGGTTCCCTGGGTTTCTTGGCTTGAGTATAGAGGCCCACCATAGAGGCTCCTCTCTTTGTGTCCCAGCTTTTCCTCTGGACCATGGACACCATGAGTCAATCCAATTTGTGGCTGCAATTCTTTTCATCCCAAAGTTGATGTCCGTCATTTGTTGATCAACCTCAATAGCACTTGCTTTTTTTCCATCAGTCATAAAGTGAGCCTCAGTGACCACTGGAGCTTTTCTGTGATTCTGTGACCAGCTGAGCTGGGGACTGCTGTACTGGCTGCATATATATCTCTATATATCCATATATCTATATATCTGACACTTTCCAACATTTCTGCCCCAATTCCCTGTCTGTATGAGTGGGATAACACCATCTCCTCACTTCATCTGCATGTCTATGTAGGGCAGGGATGTCACAGGCACAGAAATTGGTGGAAGATGATGAGGCCCTTCCCATATTATGAGTTCCAGAGGAACAACTGAAATGGAAGATCTGCCTCCAAGCAGCATGACAAATGCAATTGCTGTTTCTGATACGCTTTCCATTCCTTGCCTCAGGGTTCAAGGCCTTGTATTATTGATGACAGCGCATGTATTTAAGGAGAATCTAAAAGGTTTTCTTTCCCCCCACTTTTTCAGCCTTTTATAGGCTTTGGCTTTCAAACAGAAGGAGAAAATTAAAATTTTAACATGTGCCAGGGACCCTTGAGGGAGGTCATGTTATTTTAATATTTCATATCCCCCTCTTTTTTTTTGCTATGAAAGTCAGGCACATCCTGCTGTTTCTGCTGACTGTGAGGGGTCTTCAGCCTTGGTGCCACCAAGGACAGGCCAAAGGTGGCTCCGAACCACCTCTTGTGTCCCTGGCCAACCACCCAACACCAGCATGACTGCCAGATGGAGCTGCTTTAAAAAGGGATGCCCTAGTCTGTTTTATTGCCCCTTTTTCTCCTTTCCTCACTCAAGAAGGCTTGCTGTAGACCTGCAAATCAGCATCTTTGATGGAGAATGACTGGCAAAGGGATCCAGCCTGCTTTTCTAAGCAGAGACTGCTCAGTTTACCGGGCTGTAAATTAAACATTTACAGGGACACAAGCAAAAGGAAAATGAGTAATAAAATGTAAAAAAAATGCCAGCCTTTATTTTTCCTTCATTTCAACAACCTGCTGAGATATTCTCTCAGGGAACAGTTTGGCTGCATCCCCTGAGGCCAGCATGAGGCTGGTATGGGGAGGGGAGAGGAAATGTTGTGGTTACAAACCCCAAGGGGCTCATAAGGAAAGTCACAGCACTTGCTTGCAAAGCAGCCGATGGTTTTCTTCCTCAGCCCTCACCTTACCAAAGGATGGAGCTAACTTTAGCCTGACCTCAAACAATAGGAAACCCATTGCGGGGGTGCACCCATTGCAGGGGTGCACCCATTGCAGGGGTGGCTTTTGTGCACGTGTGAGCTCTGTGGCATCACTGAAAGCTTCAGTTTGCCACCACAAAGGGGTTTCTCATTCTGGGGAGGATGTGCTGGCAATGCGTGGAAAGTTTCGCTCTGCTCGAGCTGAAACGTTCCATTTCCACCTTGTTTCAAGTGTTTTGTCCTGTGAAAGCTATATCCGTTGTGAAACAGCAGTTAAAACAAACATTTGCACATTAATGGAATGGAATATTTCCAGCATATTCCCCTTTCTGAAGTGAATTATTGGCTTTTTTTTCCCACTTTGAGCCAAAAGCAGAAAATAAAGCCTTGCATTTTTTTTCTTCAGATAAGGATGAGGGATATCATGCAGCTCTTGTGTCGTAACACATGGTCAGATGTCCTCTTGTCCACCCAGATGGAATAGCTCCATGCTTGGCTGTATCTCCTGGTGGGTGCTGCCCCAGAGCTGGGTGATGTCTGTGGGCCACATGAGCCCTCCTCACACCTTCGGTGCAGTCAGGCAGCTTGGCTTAAATGCCCAGAAAGGCAGCTTAAGCCAACACAGCTGATTTTGGACCAAAGAACAGCACGTGGCGCACGAAACACCTCCTGGAAGTACCTTTCCATCTTTGCTGACTCTGCAGGAAGCCCAAAGGGCTGGTGTTGAGCAGGGTGGGATTCAGCTCCAGCTGCAGACACCTGACTTCAGATGTCAGCAGCCCAAGTGTCTACTTGTGCTTGGGATATCAGTGACAATTAGTGACAGTTTCAGCGATATCAGTGACAATTAATGATTCAGATCCCTCATGTTGCTGACTAATGCCATCTGAGATAATTTAGAGCATCTCTATCCCCCCTTACACATAAAAGAGAAGGAGGGATTTAAACAGCATGAATGAAGTTGCTCAAGCTGGAATCCTGTCCAGGAGAGTGAGGTTAACACCTCTTCTCCTACAGAAAAATGCCAGGGGATTTCTAATGTGGTGAAGCCCTCTGTATTCCAAGTCCTTTGAAAGACATGGGAGAAGAAACAAAGGACACCTCTTGAAGAAACGCACATAAGTAAAACGTCTTGGCTTGGATCAGCTGTGAGATGGAAAACACTCAGCTGATCAGATAGCAGGCTTGCCAGTAACATTTTTCTCTTATGCTCCATTAAATCTTGTTGATCCTTGGCTTAATACCTTATCTTCACGATCCTTGGCTTTATGCTTACCCTCTGATTTTTGATCTGACTTTCTTCCAAGTGCCATTAACAGTCAAAAGGAAATTCCAGGAGACTGGATGGTGTCTGAGAATGTTGCTTTTGACATGATAGAAAGCTACATGTATGGGCTTTACCTTGGGGTTAAGACATTGCCACACACTGGGGACCATTCTACTAACACATACGTTGAAGATGAGTTAGTTTCTCACTCTGCAGGAGAGATGCTGCTCAGGTAGATGCCGTGGAACAAGCTCACATTTGCAAGACATCTGGCAACAGCAGGCTTGTTTGCTCCGTGCCTGGACTCTTTGTCCTAGCAATATTCTGTAACTGTTTAATTGAATAAATTCTGAAAATTCTCCTTTGCCATGGTGCAGTAGAAAGACAGCAACTGGCCAGACTGATGACTTTTCATAGTTTTGTTGGTGCATCTGCCTTTAGCAGAGCCCATCCTGCCAAGCTCACTGGAAGTTCAGCTCAGCAGAAGCTTTGCAAAAGCCTCCTTGGCCTGCGTCCTTCCTGCTTTCACATGGCTTTATTTCAGCTCGTTCACTGGGCGTTTGATTTCCGTTTTTCCTTCACACATGTGCAGCTCCTCACATGCACGCTTCCCACCAGCCCTTCCATGGAAAGGTTTTTAAGTTCCAGGCTGAAGTGTTAACGATGCTGGAGGAGAGGGTCAGCACTTTTCTGGAGTGTTTTGGGAAAGGAGACATTGTTGATTCCTAGCGAGGAAACGTGCAGACCATTTTCTAGACCTGGAAAGAGGAAAACTGGAGTTGCTGTGTCTCCAGCTAGCATGTTGGACTTGCAATTACAACGCCAGCAGCAAGATGAGGTGTGAACTTAGTTTCTATGGATGATTTAGTGGTTGGCAAAGGCTGGAGGTGGTAATTGGTACCATTTGTGTTAATTTTGTCAGCATTTCCCCCCTGACTGATTGGCTTGTGTCAGCTTTTTATTTTTTATTTTTTTTTTGTCTTGTTTTTGCTTTTTCATTTTAGGGGAACGGAGTTGTGGTTTCACATTCTTGTTAAAGACTGGGGCTGTGATTTATTCTGGGTGGGGCTTGAGGGAGAGCACAGGGAAGGAGTTTATAATTGGACTTGGTTTCATATTGGGTTTTAAAAAAAATAAACTGGCCGGAACAGCAGTAGAGCCAAGTAATTCTATTTCACTTCACACTAAATTTAGTAAGATGAGGAAAAAAATAAAAAGCTCAATTTCATGAAACCGTGGCAATTCCTGCTTTTCACCTAAAGTTTTCCTCCCTTGTCTTCAGTTTGTGTCTACCAAGAAGAGGCACACATAAACGTCAGCTTTCCTGGGTTCCAGCTTTAAAAACTATGATCTTTATATAGCATTGTAGGGCTTGTGGCGACAGTAATGGGTCTTTTTTCCTGCTAGATCAGGGTTATAAACCTCCCTTCCAACACTTCTAGCAAAAGCCCCCCAGCCTTATAAAGACTTCTTCTTGCAGGAACAATCTCCAGAGGTCAGGAGGTGTTTGTGTCACCAGGTTTATTTAGGAATTTTAACAAGAAGGTCCTTTTATCTCCCAGATTCCCTGATACTTGATAGGAAAAGGACTGGATGCTGGCAGTTTGCTTTGCTTCAAAAGCTGCCCCATGGGAACAAGTTTAGGCTGAATTCATCTCACTGTGGACATTTCCAGGTGAGCTTGCCAACTGGGACACCTATAGACAATAAAGAAACGCAGAAACTATTAAGACACAATATATTTAACCTGGTTTTAATATTTTTTATTTTTAATTAAAATTTATTAAAATTAATTTAATTAATTTTAATTTAATGTATTTAACCTGTTTTCAGTGTCTACTTTGGATGAGATGAATCACACTCATGACTGAGTAACCATCCTTTCGGTAAAGAGGGAGCCCGAGGCAAGCAGGTGTCATAGAGAAACCTACATTTGATTAGGAGAACTCTGCCTTATTTATCGGGGCAATGCTTTTCTTGGCAAAAAGATAGGAAGAATCCCCACCACCAGAAAGAAGTGGTAGGGCAGTTTTCTGCCCAGAAAGCCATTTGCACTCTTCCAATGCTTCCTCAGGCTGTGGAAGAGGTAAGTTTATTTTATATCTTGATTTAATTTAAGAAAACCTTGAAGAAAACTTTGTCTCCAGGGTTGGAGCCCCAAGTTACCAGGAGAGAGGAGACCCCAGCCCCAAGGCAGAAGTGGATCTGAGAAGGTAACTGAGTTGAGCTGAAAGCCCAGGATGGCTCTGCCCTGCTGGGATGGAGGTGGGGGCACAGCGGGGCTGTTGTAGTTGGATCCTGAACAGCACTGAAAGTCATTTAGTTTTAATTTTATTTTTCATTTATTTATTTATTTATTTTTGGAGGAGAATAACACTACGCTTCTTTCGATGGATTTTACATAGATATTAGTTGCAAATCTACAAACATACCTATAAAATTGGGCCTTTTAGGCGAAATCACTGCACAAACAAAAGTGTTTGCAGAGGAATTAACCTGGCTGAACTGCCGTCTGTCTGGGTCAGGAGCCCACGTCTACCTCCCCCTGCACTGGTGCACGTCATCGGGGGAGCATCGAGTGCTCTCTGCTCTGGCTTTCCTCATCAGCTCACATTGCTCAGGACAGGGCAGCCAACATGGGGAAAAAGGGTTTTTCAGAGGGGATGGGTGGAGAAAGAGCAGTGAAGGCAACAGCAAGGGTGGGCAACCCTTTGTCTACCTTCCCTGGTGACTGGAGATTCAGGATGCTGGGGCAGAAGGCTGTTAATACCATCAAGAATGGGGGCTACCTTGTCTATGGGAAGATGTTCTGGATGTTTTTTTTTTTTTTTTTTTTTTTTTTTGTTTTTTTTTTTTTCCCAGGGACTCATGGATGATCTTGAACTTGTGGCTCGTAAGGAACCATGAGCAAAGAGCTGTGAACTCACAGGATTTGCACCATTTACAGCCATGAGGTGTGATGACTAATTAACCATTATTTGGCACAAGGGTCTCTGATGAACTGGACCGACCATGATGCCCCATCCTCATCCCAAAAGGCAAGACAGCACAGGAGTGCCTTGGTTTTCCTTGACAGATTCTCTTCCATGGATTGAACAAATGTGAAATTACTGGGTGAATGTAAGTGTCCTGATTTACTGCTGGCGTCCAGGTGATAGAGCCCCATGGTGCTAGCTGTTTTGAGGGAACAGTGATGCTGGGAGGACTCATTCAGTGTGATCAGGGAAGGACCTGACCCAGGCGTGAGGACCTGTGGGGATTTGGGCTATGCATGTTATCAGGGGCGAGCTCATCGAGCTGGTGGCTGGGATTCAGGATCGGTGTTTTTTTACCTTCCTGCAAGCTTTTTCCCAATTTTCCTGGCCTGTGGACTTGTGTCCTGGGAGCCTGCTTTGGAGTTCACTGAAATCAAAGGCAACATTTGCTCTGCTGGCAGCAAGGGTTGGATTGGGCCTTTTGGGGGTTCTGCCTGCAACCCAAGCCAAGCTCTAAAAAGGGACTTTCTGAGTGCTTGCTTCAGTCCTTTTATTGTGCTTGGCCAGTGCCACAGATGAATTTAGGTTATTTTTGTGCGCTCCTTCTTTTTCGCCCCAACCCGTGCACCCCTTCTCCCCCTTATTCTTCATGGACATGCATCAAAGCCCACAGGGGACATCACGGCGACCATAGGAAAAAAAAAACCCTGAGCACACATGTCCAGCATTAGTCAGACTGCCGCTCGCGCTGTGCAGGAGGAATTTAACAGATCCCTCAAGATTTTAAAGCAGAATAACAAGCATGTTTGTTTATATTTTTATTTATTTAGATATTTTGCTGGAGAGGGCGGGGGTGGGAAGTTGGGAGGTGACCAGCGACCCATTTTTAAAGGAGCTCTTTCGACATTCCACCCCCTGAAAAAAGAAATCCCCTGAACACGCTCAAAATAGCAAGATAAATAAATAAGTAAACAAACAAAACGTGGCTCACTGCAGGCACCTCCAAAGCAGAGGGACATGAAGTCACATTCCTACTCCTGTTTTACCACCACAGCATTTTTTTTGGTTTTAATTTTTATTTATTTTTAAAGAAGAATGGGACATTCAGGCTTTGAAACGGCCAGGAAAACTTTAACAGGGGATCAGGTAGGGTGGTGTCTGTGCAGGACATACATGTGGATGTATGTGTGTACATTATTTGCAGAGAAGTATTTGCACATAGATATGTCTGCATGTATGTCCATCTGCCTGCTAGACCTAACGGTGTGTCTTTACATAGAGTATGACTGAGAAAGGGTCTGGTCTGCTCCTGCAAAAATCTCACCCTTAAAAGCAAAGTGAGTAATTTTATGTGCAAAAGCTGTGTGCAAAGCTCTCGTCCACATGGTCCATGGGGGACCTGGAGGCATCTAACCCTGCCACGTTTGTCACTGCTGGCTGTATGGCCAAGGACAGCGCAGAGCAATGGAGCTCAGCACCCAGCCTCCAGCACAGAGATGGTCACCACTGACCGGACATCACTCTCAGACAAAGAGGAGCAGAAAATGGGAAGGGTCTGAGTTGAGAAGTGGTAATTCCTACATAGGACTGTTCAAAAAAAGGAGTAACAGCACAGTCAGAAACAAGAGGCATCCCACCACATTTTGTGACACAGAATTATTAAGGTGTAAAAAACAACCTAAAACAAGCTGTGAGTAGGACCAATCCTAAGGAAACAAGTCTGTAATTCTGTTGCAACAGATGCCAAGTTGGAGCCCCGGGTCAGTGACATGATCCCTATTATTCATGGTCTTGAAAGGCTACAGAACATTGCCCTTAGCTTCCAAGACCTGAAAGCTGCTGAAAGTAACAGCTGGAACACGAGAAAAATGACAGGGCTGAGTCCTTTGGGTTTCACCCCTTTTTTTCTCTTGCATATCTCCCTTCCTCTGAGCAGGAACATGACCCTCAGCATTGCCCTTGTAAGACTTGGTTCCGTCCTGTTCTTGCCTAATCATGTACTGAGTTCAGTGATTGTGAACAGCACCTCCCCTTCACAGAACTGCCACATCCTCAGTTTTGCAGGAATAAACTCTGGGGCTCCAGAAGCCTGGGAAAATTGGGAAGCAGAGGGATGGCAATCCGTCCGCAAGGATTACCAAGGAGATGAGTTATGTCAAGTACTAGGAAAAAAGAGAACTCCCAGGAAGCATTAAGCAGCGCCTCTGATGAGAAACGGATAGGAGGGAGCCAAGTGATTGCCGAAGGAAAGCCCCGTGTTGTGACACTGTGTTATATGGGAAATCGATCTCAAATGACCTCACAGTCCCTTGTTGCCTTAGGAAAAAAAAAAAAGATCTGTTAATTTGTTCCTGTTAGTTTTTCATGAAAGAGAAGCTGTGAAGGAAAATGAGCTAGCATAAAGAAAGGAAAAGTAAAGTTAGCAGTTTTAAACAAGGGCCCTGGAGCAAGTCCTAGTAAGGACAAACCCCACACTCTCATAAATGGGGACTTTTTACTACCGAAAATTTGCCTGCATGACCTCACGTAAACAGGAATATCTAGAGGAGAGTTGAGGTGCTGCAGATACCCAGATGCCCTTTTAGCATCGTAAGGGAGAGGAGAGCTGAAAATATGGACACTGATCAGCACCTACGAGTGACATCTGCCCTTGTACATCTGGGAAAAAGTATCAGGGCTCATCAGCACACAGAGCTTGCTGTCTACGTGTGAAGAAGACTTTGCTGAGAAATGGGAGAGAGGCAAAAGTCAGGTCTGGGAGTGTCACAGGCAAAGTGCCAAAGTGGCAAACTGCTTGCCAAGTCCTGCCTGTACTGAGGAATCACCATAAATATGGTTTAGTGGGTGACATTGGTGGTAGGGTGCTGGTTGGACCAGATGAGCTTGAAGATCTCTTCCAACCTTAATGAATCTAGGATTATACGCTGTGCTTTAAAGACGAGCATCCTGAGCAACCCAAGCAGCAAAGCACACGCCGAGCACAGCGTGTGCCGAGCCGAATTGGGGCCCGCTGCCTACATCCACAAGACCTCTGTGGGGAAGCTCGTTGGCTCTTCCTGCCTCTGCTGCCTTTGTATCCCTCACAGCCGACTTCCAGCGCGTGCTGAAATCTCCCCAGCCACAGTGCGCATCCCCAGTGAATTCGAAGACAATGCTGCTTTCAAGGAGCAAGAGGGGTAATTACAAGATTAACAATTGACCTTCCCTCATGTGTTTTTGTGTGCATATGGGCCTCCAAGGACAAGGATTTGTACTTTCTGTCCTGTTTTTAGAAAAACATGCTTGACCATATTTATTTTTATGAAGTGGTGTAGGTTTGGCCAAGAGAAAAGCATGAAGCAGAGTGTCCTTGAAGCTGTAAACAGGGGAGGAGCAGATGCTTTTTCCCTTCTGCAGAGAACATGAAGCAAAGGAAAAGAAGGAAAGCAGAGCTGCCCAGGAGGAAGGACTGAAATGTGCAGTTACCTGGTTTGCAAGGGGCTGAGAAGATCCCTCCTGCTTAAATTTAAATACAGCTTGATAGAAGTTGCATAGGCTAGTGTTTTGTGAGGGACTGCTGGGCTGGATAGAGACCTAGCAAATCTAGTAAGACAGAAAAAGGGAAATAAAACCAGGAAAGGATACGTTCCCCAGGATGAAGGTGTCCTGAGTGATGTGACCTTCACAACCCTAGCAGTGCATCCACCATCAGCAGTCCATGCTTGGCCTCAGGAAGGTGGATATGGGGCTGAAACACCCATGAGTGGCAGGGCTGAGGGAGCAGCTGAAGCACTGCTGGAAGACTCTGTTTGGAGGTATTTGTTGGTATTTTCCACCCATAACTAGATGGTGAGCCATGAATAAATGTGGGGTTTTCTGGTCTGAGCCCCTACAAGCCATAAGTGTCGCTGGGAGCCCTTCTGGGAGCCATAGCCTGGGATTGGCATGGTGAGATTGTGCTCAGACCACCTCCGTGTTTTGTGTCTTGATGGTGGGACATAAAATACTGAGGTGAAGCCTGGTTGTGTCTGGTTCTCAGAGATTTTGAGGCAATTTACCTCATTTAGTAAATGCTGGACTGCATGTGTCAAAGAATGTATGACAAAGAAGTAGAAGCCACCTGGCTTTCTTGTGTCTTGTCCTCATCGTCTTCTGTGGGCAAAAAAGTTGCTTTTGAAGTAGGAATGATGTCAAGACTTGGCAATGTCAGAATTGGCAATGGAGGAGAGGTTAAAACTGGGGAAGACATCAGGTTTTGACTAGCAAAAACAGTGCAGAGCAGGGATATAACCGCTGTGGTTTTTAATACGAAGGTCAGTAAGAAAGAAGAATTGTTTAATCTCAAGCAGAATGTCAAAACAAGGGCAAATGAAGATAAAGTGTGCAGGGATCAATTCAGAGGGGAAATTAGAAGGTCTCTAAAAGGTAGAAAATGGACATTTTGGAACAGGTTCAGCAAGAAACAACCAAGGACAGATCCTGGACATTTTTCACATGGTGCTCAATCATTCTGGGGAAGGATGGTGGGTATTTCTGCTTAGGACAGGAGGGACTGGGCCTCTTGGGCTGCTTAGTCCTTCCAGGTCCCTGGTGCCTCTGCAGAAGGGTCAAGTTCCAGGGCAGACACTTCTTGGGTGATGCTGGCTTTGCACATTGAATGACAGAGTTTAGCAAATGACATCCACGTAGAAATCCACTTCTGTCTGGGTTACCCGAAGTTACACCAACCCCTTCAGTCTTTGCACACCTTTTTGCTTAAATGGCTGCTCTTCAGATCAACACCTGGCAAATGAGGTGTTGCCAGCACTGTGAGATGCTATTTACCGGCTTGCTGCTGAGGAAACAATGAGTAGGAGAGTGAAAAATCCCTTTGACTAAGACAGGAATAAATAAATCCCTGCCATAAACACTGGCAAAGAGCTGAAGAGCTCAGGAACCTCAAAAGGAAAGGCATCTAGAAACAGAACGAATTCAAAAATACACCCTGAAAACGCAAACAGAAAGAGCTTGAATACTTCATTAGTATAAACAAGGTACAGAGAAAGCTGAATTCTCCCAGCTCATTTATTCCAACAAATCCATCTGAAAGCAAGAGTTTTATTTCCCCCCGAGTGCAATTTCCTCTTACATTTTTGGTCCGTATTTCACAGCTTGTCACTTCATTTTCTCCCCCACCCAAAGCTCTGAGAGATCTTGTTTGCAGATGATTGAACGAGTTTTATTTTTCTCCTTCCAGATGTGGCTGCCTCTCAGATGCAGTTGATACGACAATGGCACGGCCGTGGAAACAACCTTTTATTCCTCCAGCCTGGGCTGGATTCCTCTCTTGGCAGAGAGGCACCTGGATAGGACTCTTCAGAAGACAAACTAGAACATGAAAGCCTGGTTCTCTGCCTGAATTTCTCCCTGGAGGAGTTTGGACAGCAAGTTCAGGGGAATTCATGGAGCAAATCAGGCACCTCTTTGTGTAGGTGTCACAACACCGATGTGGCTGTGGGTGCCACCAGAACCTGGGGTGTCTCCAGCAATAAACGGGAGTGAGGAAACGTGCTTCTTAAACACTCATCACCTGGGCTTCTCTCTGTGGCCTCAGGAAGGACTTTTTTTTTTTTTTTTTTTTTTCTCTTATGAGTTCTGTTACTAAAGAACAACAACTCTTAAATCAGCATAAGGTTAACGGAGATCTAATGTCTCTGTAATGGTCTGGATGCTGAAATGCAGATATATAACTCAACATGCTCATTTAATACCAAAGGCAGATGGTTTCACTATTACAGCTTGTTGCTAGAGAGGAATTTATCTGGTAATCCAATAATCGTAATTGTATTATTTTGATAATAAACAATGAGGCAAATTCAAGGGAGGCAAAGGCTAAATGCAGCAGCGGCTGTCCAATCAGCCTCTGGTTTGTTATGCATCATATGATCTTTAATCCTGTTACCATACCAGAAATGGATTTTCAGCCCAGTATAAACCAATGCACCTTTACTGAAGTCACTTTAACCTGGTCAATTTTTGGTGCTTTGAGCATGGAGATACTTGAGTGATTGATGCTGTTTAACTTGCAGTACTCATTTTAAGTGTGAGTCATAAAGGCTGCGATTCCAGTAAAAGACTAGGTCTGCCTCATATCTAATCAAGTAATTGTATGTAATTGAAGATAATCAGAAGTCTTAGATCTAGAACACATAGCAACAAGGAAGCATGCATTTTAAAAAGGCTCCCACTTACATGAGCAGTGAAAGCAAGTATGTTCGCCCCCCCAGCCCCATGCAAGGCTTATTGCAGGAAAGGAACTCATTCCTAAAGGAGATGGTTTTGTATATTCAATATTGCTTTTAATTGATCAGAAAATGTCCATTCTCCATCATAAAAAAAATTCTGCATGTGATATTTTTCTAGAAGAGATATGGCGTGCTATATTTGTGAATTTCCTCAGTCCACATCTAAGCGCAAATATAAGCAAACTGAACCAGAAAGAGGCACTCTCATTTCAAAGCAATCATAGTGAGGGCAGTGCTGGAAATTGGAGACCACCATGGAAATGGCCACATGTTCTGAACAAAGTTCTCTCTTTTAATTCGAAGCCCTAAAGAAGACAAGACTTTGCTTTTCACCTCACTGTGTCTGGGGTGAAATTGCCAGAGGCTGGACAGTGAAGAGCTGCAATAACTCGCCTCCACTAGATTTTTACATCAAACAGGTTCCCTTCAATTTCACAAGGCATGTTTTCACCCTGAACACGCAACCAGAATCTAATAAAATAAAGTGGTTTTGTTCTGGTTTGTTTTGTACAGGAGCAATGTTTCTGCCATAGTACCGCTGTAGCTGGAAGCCTCTTGCACAGAGAGGTTCCATCAAATCTCAAGTGACATCACTGATGCAATTTGCAGCAGAGACACAGAGTTTTTGGAGGATGAAAGTCTTAAATTTTAAGAGATTACTGACCCACGAAGACCTCTCCTGGATTACTGTGCCTGTAGGAATTTAGCCAGGATGCCAATTGAACCAACAGCCAAAGCACCTCAGGTCTTTGCTTAATCCATTAGATGAGCTCATATTAAGGTGCCAGGCTGGAGGTGGAGTGGTGGGGCACAGGCACATTGGTGTCTTGCAAAGGCATGGAAACAGAGACTTTACTTCAAAATCAGAGAGAGTGAGACCTTTGAAAGTAGGTATGCTTCTTACAAATTCATTTCTGCACCTCCCTTTCTTCCAAGCTACCTTGCACTTTATGAATGCATGATTTTTTTATGATTTTTTTTTAAGCTTCCCTTCAGAGTACGTATTTTCCGGCTTAATCCCCATAGCTCCTCAGCTGCATGTGCCTCCCTTGATCCTGAGGTCTGACTTTCCCCCACTCCCTGCCAAAGGTGAGTAAAGCCCCCTAGTCTGCAGGAGCAGGATGATTTAATGGTCATTGTTTGTCAAACCCTCAAAGCTCCCTCTCTCTGATTATTTGACCGTCTTCCATGGTGCTTTGCTGTGCTGGGAATGGCCTTCACAGCACCCTAGACCACCTCTGTCTTCCTTCTTTCCCTCAACAAAACATCACTTGCTTTCTTCAGTCCTCCAATAGCCAGTTCAGTCTGTCCTAATCCAGATAAATTATTCCTGTAATGGTTAAGGGACCGGTGGAACAGAGGTATTTTTGCTCACCAAGTATCCTGGGACACCGTGGGGTGCCCCATCCTGTTTCTAACCACATCCCTTCCCACCACTCTGGGTAGTGCTCCAAGAGAAGTTCAAGAGCTTGAGATCCTGAAGCCAGGGAGATGTGAAAAATAAAATAAAATCGGGAGCTTTTCAGCCAAGCCTGGCTCCACTGAGCACAGCTGAACAAGTCCCCTAGGACAACCTAGTGGGCTGTCCCCAGATGAGAGGCAGACCCATCAGAAGAACACCCTGGAGGTCAGCAGAGTCCAGCACCAGCTCTGCATGGTGTCATTTTGGAGCCATGGTCCAGGCAGTGTGTCCTGGTTCTTGTGGCTGATGCTGAGCCACCATCTCACATGGCTTGCAAGTGCTTGAGCACCCCAAACTCTTGAGGTGAAGGTGCTTGAGCACCACAACTTTCTCCTGAGGGGGTCAGCCTGCTGCCTGAGCCAGATTTTTGAAAAACTGCACTTTTTTTCCTTTTTTTTTTTTTTTTTTTTTTTTGGGTGGGGGAGGGAATTATGGTGTTTCACAGTGTAAAGCAACAACAAAAAAAAATTACTGTGAAACGAGAACCGAGAGCATGTGATATAACTTCACCTTTGGGGCCATTTTATGTTGTTATTAAAAAAGCTAGAATAAAGGCAGGATAGCGATTCTTGCAACAAAATAAAAAAGAAATACTTGTAAAGGCTTTAATAGCTAGAAACTCTGTTTTATAGCTACACCAAAAGAAAGATCCACTCAACTTCATATCTTTTCACCCTTCCATGATTATTAATCCAGAGGGGATTTAAAGGAAAGGGATTATTCTCCCTGGATTTGTAACACTACGCTTCCCAAATCGTGACACTTAAATCCACGTGGATGCTTGCAGCATGATCAAAGCAGAGGAAATTCAGCTGTGAAGGTGAGATTTGCAAGTGAAAAAGTCAATCTGAGTGAGCCTCACTCAGTGCCCCCATCTACCTGCCCTGTGCCTTATGGGGGTGGATGTTGGGCTGGAGGTGGGCTGCAGCATGCAACCAGCCCCCCCCCCCCCCCCAATTTTTGGGGTCTGAATGGCTTGCCAAGGGTCTGAAGAAATGCAAATGACTTTCCTGCATTTAGCCTCTTATGTGGGGATTTCTGGGCAGGTTATATACCCTGCACACAAATGGAGCAGAATTGGGCTTTGCAGCAAATAAGCATGAAATTTGCTTTCCTTGATATTCAGCTATTTTTTTCCATGGAAGCTCTCAGCTTGGTGCATGCCTTTGCCACTATAATTACTCAGTGAGTACATTAGATTCCTGCTTTTCATTTTCATTCATTCTCTTTTGTTTCAATGCTCTTTTTTTTTTTTTTTTTTCTTTCTTTTTTTTTTTTTTTCTTTTCACTGAGAAAGGAGCATTCTTTTCTCGCTGCCGGTCTTACATCTAACAACTCACGCTTGACACTTTGGGGTGCTCCTTGCTGGGAGGGTAACAAACGTTTGCAGGAAGCACTGCTGCTTTAGCAGTCTCTGGCAACGTGTCAAGGAGGGAGAGCTGACTGTCAGGAAAGAAGCACATCAACTACTGATGGGCATTATACTTGAGCCCAGGCCAAGTGTCTGAGTCCAGTTAGTCTTCTGATTAAACGAGGGAACGTGCCTGTGGGGCTTCATGCAATTTGTCAGCATGGAAGGGGCCTGGGAAAGTGTGATGTACAGGGAGAAGAAATGCATACGCTTGCAAAGATACAAGAGTTTTTTTGTAGGGGTATATCAATAGGGTGGAAAAATGAGAGGCTGGTGGTCACAGTACCCACATTCCTACTTAAAGTAATTGCATTGTCACCAGTGCATTAGGCTGTTGGAGGCCAGCATCTCTGGGTGAAGCAGTATCTTTTTTTTTCCCTGGGTTTATACAGCTTCTGGTACAGTATGTATGGGAGAACAGGAAGGATACAGACTATGCCTGGGGATTTGGGACAAAAGCAAATCAAAACAAAACAAAACGCACAAAACCACACATACAGAAGAAAAAAACAACAACAAATGAGTTAAAGGATAGCACTTTTGCTCTTTGAAGAACAGTGTGGAGACTGAATGGGCTCAGGCAGAAGGGCTGTCTTGGGGGTGATACATATAAGAACATTGATATACAGAACATATCGATGGGCATATGATGGAGACAGATGGAGATGATAGATGTCCCTGCCTTTGGCAGGGGCGTTGGAACTAGATGAACTTTAATGTCTCTTCCAACCCAAAGCATTCTGTATTCTCTGTAAGAATAAGCTGTAGGAACATTGGATGGCTGCACTTTAAAGGTATTTCTATGCCACTATCCCGTCTTTGGCAGGGATCACAGACAAGTGCCCAAGACATTGTACAGAAACAAGACACACATACATAATTTTCCCCTCAGATACTCTTTCAACCTCTGACCAGCTAAGTCCAGGTAGTTTCTGACTGGTAATTTCTGTGTATTTTACAACCCTTAGCAGACTACTTTGAGCATCCGCACTACCCTATGGCAAGGCGTTACACAGCTTAGACAGGGGAACAAGGTCTGGCATTTAGGCACGAGCTGGACATCCCAAAACACTGCTGTGGGCAGTGGAGAGAAATCAGCAGTCCTGCCAGGCAATTCATCTGTCCCAGGAGAGTAGCTGAAGTGGAGTCAGAAGAATCACTGTTAACTTCCACTTAAATCCAGCAAATGATGTCCAGAGCACTAATTCACCTTTTTCTGTAGAGGTTTAAAATAGATAAGATGAATTACACGGCACTGGGTGCTGCTCACCTGGGACCTTCCCTGTGGCTGTAAGGTAGGCTTGGATTTTTTAGGGACAATTTCCTTCTGTCTGGCTCTGTGTGCAGGGGAGAATTCAACCCCGGGGTGAGTCCTAGGCTCTCAGTGGGAGACTGACTGTACTTAATGAACCAGCCTTCTTTCCTTTGCCTCCTGATGGATAGCAAGGTGAACGTAGGGCTACAAACCTGTGATCTCTCCTCCTGCAGAGTAATGCAAAATGCATGAGGTTTAGACAAAGGGAAGTTAATCTGCTTACATTTATGAGAAATAGTCCTGGGCTTCCCTTGCAATAACATCCCCCCAGGTGCTCAGCAGGGTTTGCTAAATGATACAAACAAATTAACCAGTAATTGACTCTTCATTTGCACTGAACATTTCTCCCTATTCTTTATTTGAAACGTCCCCAACTACACCGAGTCCTGTAATTATTCCTTTTTCTTTTTTTTTTCTTTTTTGGCCCAGATATGTTTTGTAATGAAAGAGTATTAAGAGCTCTCCCTTTGAGGCAAAAATATTGTTATTCCTGGCTGTGATAAGCTGAGATATTATTAAGCTTCCTGTGCGAGTCTGTAAGCTATTCTGCTCTTCTGTAGCACTTCCCATGAGATATCTGCAGAGTACTTTGCTGTGGACAACAGACTTAAAGGGTGGCTGCAAATTACCCGAGGAAAGATATGAATCCTAACCTACTGCTCTGGTCAGCACAGACGCAGTTGGTGGTGGGGATCAGTTTTTGCTAGAGGCTGTAGGAGGTTTTTCTTCCTCCCCAGTTCCACCTAGAAAGATAGGACAGAAGGGGGGCACCTACAAGATAAATCCTTTCCCTTCAGTAGTTGCCAGGAAAGAGGAAGTCATTCCTAAATGAATGTGGAGCCATGACAAATGTGGCTCTTGAGGCTGAGTACCCCCAGGGTGATAGTAAAGGCTTTGCAGGCAGCATAAAAACCCTGCTGGGCATTGCTACTGTATGAACAATTGCTCCTTCAGGTCCACCAGAACACTGGGCTTGATTCAACCCTCAGGAGTTCTCCTCTGGCCTTGGTCTCTCAGCTCTTGTTTCCTTGGTCATGGCACCTGGGCAGCTTCCAGAAGGAGTTTGGGTCAAAACGAGCTAGAGGAACAAAGACTCTTCAACTTCTGTCTTGTAGAGATAAGACCCAGGGCATTTCGAGGGTTTGGTTCCTTGAAAAGAAGAAATAATAATGTAAACTTGGATCGGGTTTGCCTCACCAGTTTAAGCTAATCTGGCATGTCCTGATGGAAAGAGTAGTTGGTGCTCATGCAAGCAGCTTGGCTGGTTGTTGCATGTGGGGAGAAAGAGGACTTGGGGGAAAGCCATCAGGGAAAACTTATCT